AGGCTGAAGCAAAAATGTTAGCCTTTCTGGGCTCTTCCTGGGGATTCTGAGAATCTGCTTCAGGCTCGTTCAGATGGCTGAGAGAATTCAGTTCACCGAGGTAGAACTGAGGCACCCCTTGTTTCACTAGTCCTCTTTAGGTTCTGGAAGCCTCTCTCTGGTTCCTGGGTCTCAGTGACTAACTGCTCCTCTGTGGCCTGTTAGGTTCTGTGTCTCATGCCTGGTTTCCCCTGTTACATCTGACACTCCAGCCAGGGGAAACCCTATGCTTTTAAGACCTATGTGGTTAAACTGCACATCTAGATAATCTTGTTTTAAGGTGTGCAGTACTTTCTAAAATATTTTAAATTTAAATTGGCACATAGTAACTGGAAATTCTTGGTGTAGTGTGACATTTCTATACATGTATGTACTGTGTAATGACAGTCACATATACATCATTAACTTTGTTGGAAACGTTGAAAATCCTCTCTACTGGCCATTTTAAAATAGGCAGTGAAGCACTGTCAACCAAGTTGATCTACTGTGCTATAGAACTTTAAAGGGACTCCTCCTATTTAGCGGTGTGTCAGCCGGTCCTTCCCATCCTCCCTGTTTGCTGGTAGCCACTGTCCTGTTCTTCATGTCTTTGAAATATACCTTACTTCCACAAAAAGCATGACCACGCCTGGCTTACAGCCTGTTTTTGAGGGGAGCCCTAGCAGCAGCATCTGCCCTTGCAAATGGGATGCATGGTCGCCATTACCTGGTATGTGCCCCCTCTGCACCTTGCTGACCCTGCAGTGTGCATTAGCCAAGGGCAACTAAGCTCAACCCTGGGAGCTTGTTAGCAGCCTGGCAAGCCGCTAGCTTGACAACGGGGACTCAGTCCCTCACTAGGATTCTGCCTGAACATGGGAAGTATAAACACGTCACCGTTTTCTGCTGGTTCATTGTGTGTGCCCCGCCCCCCCCCCCGCTTACATGTGAAGTATCACCTAATGTAAGGGCAGTTGCTACTTACCATGTACCTGCAAAAGGCCCACTGTCCCCATTTTACCTACATGAAAGTTGAGGCTCTAAGGAAGTCTCCTTCACAGTCATAGAGCTATTAAGTGTATCATGTATCCTTAGTGTCTCCAGTCTGGATTCTCACACTACAGTGTAAACCATTGTTTGATATTAGGTGAAGTACCTTGTTCGTTTTTAATGTTACTTAAGTTTGCAGTAACACTTAAAATTTTTTATTTTCCATCCTTTTCCCAATAAAACAAAGCCATTGTAGCAAAACAATCCACTAAAGCATACAGGCATCTTAATATAGAAATGGGCTGCAGGAACTCTTAAGCCTGGCATCCAAGCATTTAAAAAAGGAGCAAATTTCAACATATTTCTGCAAAGTTCCTTTATTGATGGCTCAGCAGGTGTTTCTTTCATTAGAACACAGAATATTAATGGAGCCCTGATTTACATGATGGGTTTGTCGTATACCAGCCTTTGTCCCCAAGTATTAATTCAGCTGTTTCCCAGCCAGTTGCCGCTAGACCTCCCCAAGGAAGGAACAGTGATAGTTCTGCCTGTGTGAATTATCCAGCCAACATCTCAGTCATCAGTTTATGGCAAGAGGTAAAATCCCTGGGTTCAGAAATGAGTAGGGTGTGTTGTTTGGATGTCCCAAGTTGAAACATTCTGTTGGTGTGTCCCACTTGTTTGACTCTTCCCAGGATGGATACAAAGCTTCAACTCCCCCAAACAAGATCCAGACCTTAGGATAATGTTAGTGGCAAAGCCAAGCCTCCTGGGGGATTTCCTAAGTTATGGGAATGCTTCCTCGGGGAAGAGAAGGGTTTCTTGAGTGCACACTGAAGGTTAAGTGTCCACACAAGTGACCCTGTCAACCCCATATCGCCCTATGAGGAGGCTACCACTCCTCTGAGCACCTTGCCAAGAATGAGTGTGCTAAGGACAATTTGTCTTAGGTCACAATCCCAGGAAGAGCGAAATCTAGGATTATGCCTTTTCTCATCTCACCAAATTACACTGGCCCTGCCCACCAGAACACTAACTAGTGGTCCTGTGAGTCTAATGCCTAAAACTCAAGGCTGGCCAAGGGTGGCACTGTGCCTGCATTTAACTCCTTGTGAGACAGAGAATGGGTACCAGTGGCAGCAGCGTACGAGGCTTTGGCAGCTCAGTGGCTGACCTGCTACTCACCAGGCACATGGCATGAGACACTTTGTCTCTACTCCAGGCTGTTTCCCATCTGTGAACCGAGTACTAGAAAAGTTTCCCCGTCCCCGCATGTGGGGTTCCTGAGTTCCGCATCATTGTATTCAGCTTGCACATTTATGAAAAGTCTATTCTCTATTCTTGGAATCTGGCTTTTAAAGTGCCTTTAGGCCAGCTTTCCTTAGTAAGTTTACAGAATACACATCTGTTGTAGGAGGCCACTTGTTTTCCCAGCTGCCCAGACTCCCAAAATAACCACACAGAATCTATATTATTTGCAATACTGTCTGGCCAATATCTTAAGCGTATTTCTGGCTAACTCTTATATCCTAAACTAGCCCATCTCCGTTAATCTGTGTATTACCACGTGGCTGTGGCTTACCAGCAAAGTTTTGACAATACCTGTCTCTGGCAGCAGCTCCATGGCTTCTCCCCAGCATTTCCCCACCCACCCATATTCTGCCTTGCACAGGCCTAACAGTTACTTTATTAACCAATGGTATTCATAGCATACAGAGGGGAATCACACATCTGTAATTAAAAAAAAAAATAAAGCTAGGCTTAGGAGTGCATTCTTGTAATACCAGCACTTGGGAGGCTGAGGCAAGACTGAATTTGAAGCCAGCTTAGCCTGCTGCACAGTGAAACCCTGGCCGAAAAAAAAAAAAAAAAGGAACCTGAGGATGTATGGGACTCCAGCTCAGTTGTAAACTGCTTGTCTGGCACGTGTGCAAGGCCCTTGGTTCAACTCCCTGCACCAAAATGAATAAATTAAAGCACTCGTGTAATTTTTTTCATTTGTTTGAGGCAAGGTCCAGGCTGCCTGTTATGAAGCCAAGGATGACCTTGAACTTCTGATTCTTCTGTCTCCATATGCTGGGATGACAGACATGCACCACAATGCCTGGTTTATGCAGTGCCAGGGATCAATCCCAGGACTCCATGCCTGATAGCAAGTACTCTGTCAACTGTGCTGCATCTCAGCCCATGTGCATGAATTTTAATTCCTCACAAGGTTAATGAGATAACACAGATTCAGTTTTGCTTATTGGAACCACTTTTTGGGCAGAAGTCAAGTAATGTGCAAAGAAATGCACAGCTTAGGGCTAGCATCTGAATCCCAGGTGTGATCCTCAGTACCCACGCATCCTTAAGATAGATGATTAAACGGAGCCTCCGGTTCCTCATCTGTAAAGATTTTAAGGTCTAGAAGCAGCACATGAAGATGCTCACAATAGAGGCTTGAGGCAGGTCCTCAGTAAACAAAACCATCAAAAGTAGAGGGCTGGGGGGCTGAAGAAATGGTTCAGCAGTTAAGGGCACTGGCTGTTCTTCCAGAGGTCCTGAATTCAATTCCCAGCACCCACATGGTGGCTCACAGCCATCTGTAATGGGATCTGATGCCCTCTTCTGGTGTGCGTGAAGACAGAGCACTCATATGCACACACAAAAAGTATTTTTAAAAAAAAACAATCAAAAACCCAAAAAACAGAGGCTGGCATCAGTGTGATGCCCCACTGAAATCACTCAAAGAAATAACCGACAATGTGAGTTCGGAGGCAGATGATCTTACTCCAGGAGCTCTTGATGATTCTCACTGCAACCAGAGTCCTAAGCCACGGCCCCACTGGAACCAGAAGCTCTGTAAGGGACCCCAATGTGCAGTAAACTAAGAGCCTCTGCCAGGCAACCTAACCTACTTTTGCTCTCAGAACCCTGAGTATTACAAAGGCAGATTACATCTCATGTCACTTGATCAAAAGACCCCAAAGAGACAACCCAAAGAGAGACTATTTGGGTTTCAGATTCAGTTCAGTCACATGGACCCATGTGCTTGTACTCCAGCATGTGGCTGGAGGTGGCTGTCCACTTGACGGCTGGCCAGAAGCACTAAGTGGATTGCGGATGCTTGGCTTACTTTCTCTTTTCCTGTCTCTGTCCAGCTGCTGCTGTTCTGCAATAACTCCACCCTCAAGCACAGTCAAGTTTTCCAGGGTAATCTATCTGCCAAGCCCCAATAGCTCCCAGGACCTGCTTTGGCGCCCAGACACCTTTCTGCAACTTACCTTCCTTGGCAAGTTGGTTGGATTTAGAATCACCTAGATTTGTGAGGCCCGCCTCTGTTATGTGTCTGGGAGAGCCTTTCCGGAGTGTTAGCCAAGGTGGGGAAAACCCTCCTCGAATGTGGCACTATTCCATGGACTAGTGAGCTGCACGCGTGGAGATCACAGCGGGCGCTGGGATGGAAAGCCCAGCTATGTTCCTCAGCCAGATGCTGGAGGAATGAGTGGAGGTGGCCCTGCTGTGAAATGCAGCCCCTACTCCCATTTTCCCACAGAATCTAGTCAGCTCTCAACCAGTCACTCCTGTTATGGCTCTGGAATTCAACTCAGAACCCAGGACAAGGTCATGGTGGTGGGGAGTGGAGTGTGGGGGTGTGGTGGGAGGATGGGTCCTATTGCTCCTGAAGTCTGGGAGAAACAGTTTAAAGCACATTTTCCCAGCCCCCTGCCATCCTCCCCACCCCAGCAAGTGCGGGGAGCATGCTATTGTATGTACTGCTGAAACCAATGCTGTTTTTTAATTTATTATGTGTACAACATTCTGCTTTCATGTATGCTTGCGTACCAGAAGAGGGCATCAGATCTCATTACAGATGACTGTGAGTCACCTGGTGGTTGCTGGGAATTGAACTTAAGACCTATGGAAGAGCAGCCAATGCTCTTAACCTCTGAGCCATCTCTTCAGGCCCCAAGATGCTATTTTTGTTTCAAATTAACACACAAAAAATCTCATCCTAAAGCCTGACTTTATTCCATCAGTAGAACATGATCTCAGTGCTGAAGTGAACCCAGTAATGTCAAGTCTCTGGAGGTAGCGTGGAGACATCAGGCAGTTAGGACAACTTCCTGGGAAGCTTAGAGGAATAAGGAACGAGATCCACATGTCGAGTGGAGTCACTCAGTGAGAGCTCTGTAGTCCTTACAAACCTAACTCTATCTCCCATCTTCAAATGGGAGCCCCAGGCCCCAGCAGGGAGCAGGCGAGTCAAATCACCAGTGAGTTAGCAGCAAGTGCCTGATTCTCTGGAGCTCTTAGCTCCTCAGTGGAGAAGGGCCCTGCTCTCTTGGACTGAATGAAGTGCAAGGCATATGTCAGACTGTGGGATGAGGTTGGGGAAGCGTGGTCCCCAGCTTCCAGCCATTCTGGTCTTACACCCAGAAATCAGCTTTTCAAGGGAGTGACGTAGGTCACTTTCTTTCTCACCTGTCTAACAGAAGTGTCCACGTGCAAAATGAATGGCACACGGTAGCGTGGCCAGTCCAGAGGATCAGCTAATGATTAAATACGAACCATTCTAAGGAAGGAATGGGTACAGGGTTCCCTAGCATGGTCTCCCTTCCACGAGAAGCCAGAGAAGTGGAGGGAACTACAGAGGACACGAAGCCCAGGGACAGGTGTGGTTGGGCACTTAGACAACACAAACACCAGCCAGTAGTTCCAGGACTCCCTCTTTGGTGAGGAAGACCACCTCACCAGTGTTCTGGCACCAAACCTCAAAGTGGGCGGGGTCCTCCAGGGCCCTCTTGCCGGCAATGACCACATAGGGGTAGCCAAGCTTGTTGGCGTCTTTCAATCGATTTCCGATGGTCAGGTGGGTCCTGTCATCCAGCAGGACCTCCCCTCGGAGCTGTGCCACTGCTTCGATGATGTCATCATGTAAGCGTTCCACCATCTCTGTGGCTGCTGCCTCCTTACTACCCTTCTTAGGGGGGATAAGGCAGACTTGGTAAGGAGCCAGAAGACTGGGCCAGCGGATGCAGTCTTCTGTAGAGAGGACTTCGATAGCAGCAGCCAAGATCCGAGTGACCCCCAAGCCATAGCACCCCATCTCAGCCAGCGAAGGGTCCCCGTGGGCATTGGTAAACTGGGCACTGAAAATGGAGGAGTACTTGGTACCGAGGTAGAATGTGTGCCCCACCTCAATGCCTTTGGTTTCTGTCAGTGGACCCTGGCAGTCGGGACAGACTTTTTGTGACAAGTCTAGTAGCTCTGTGTTGGCTGAGAAGTGGCAGCTGGGACAGACTACAAGCCGGTCCTCTCCAATATCCACTGGCAGCTGGAATTCATGGGACAATGTGCCCCCAATGCTGCCCACAGCTGCCCTGGCTTTCGTCCATCGTAAACCCAGCCTATCAAACAGTCTGCAATAAGCATCGCACACCAAGCCATAGGTCTCCTGGGCAGCCTCAGAGGAGGAGTCAAAGGAGTACATGTCCTTCATATAGAACTCCCGGCCACGGAGAAGACCAAAACGGGGCCTCGGCTCATCCCGAAACTTCCTGGTAACCTGGTACAACAGTAAGGGAAGCTGCTTGTAGGACAGTTTCTTCTGGGAGGCGACCAGGGCTGTAACTGCTTCCTCATGAGTTGGTCCCAAGCAGTACTCTTTGCCATGCCTGTCTCTCAGTCTCAGCAGCTCCTTGCCCATCAGGTCCCAGCGGCTGGTGGCTCGCCACAGCTCAGCGGGGCTTAGGCTCGGCATGTTGATCTTCTGCCCCCCAATGGCCTGCATCTCCTGGTCTATTACCCTGACGAGCTTCTCCATGGCACGAACCGTGTAGGGCATGAGGTGGTAACAGCCGGGGCTTGCTGGGAGGATCAGGCCCACTTGCAGCATCAGTCGCTGGCTCTTACAGGTCAGATCGCTAGCTCTGCCCTCCAGAGGAAGCACCTGGTCTTCCCTGAGGTTCTGAGGCTGGAACATGCGGGATAAAACCAAGCGTTGCCGCCTCCCCGGCGCACAATGGTAGCATCTGTGGGTAACGTACCTGGAGAGGTGGTGACTGCAGAAAGCCAAGGCAGACAGTGTTCTGCATCTTTTCAGCAGCCCTTCCATGACACCCTGGTACCTGGAGAAAAACGAGCCATGTAGATGATGGTTAACTGGGTTTACAGCACGGGCTCCAACTAACGCCTGGACAGAAGCTCATCTCGGGAGCCGTGGGTCCTTCCATTTCTAATAGCCCAGCAGACCACAGCACCACTTCTCTTCAAACAAAGTTCGGCCAGGTTTAGGCACCCACCTTCAATCTCAAACCTTGGGAGGCCAAGAGAGAGGCCAGCCTGGTCTACAGTGAGTTCGAGGATAGTCAGGGCTATGTAGAAAGGACTTTTATCAATGAACAACGGAAGAATCCTATTATTCTGATTATGAAAATGTAACAGTGTACCTGGAGACAGCATCCAGCGTGCACGCACAGGCTCTGGAGAAGGCAGCCTGGGTTCTCGGCCAACTTCCCACTGGAACTTCCTAGTACATCTGTCTCTACTCATGTGTACTAAAGTTCATCATGAAATGGTATAACCACCAGATTTCCTTTGTATGTTCACTGTGGGCACTTTGTAAAGATGGGGAAATTTTTTTATTCTTCAACAGTTTTTGGCATATATTGTGTGCTTGGTGGATGTTTACTATTGTTATTATTTTAGGAAGACCCTGTAGTTGTATATTCTTTTACTCTATCCCCATGGTGGAATGCCAAAATGTTCCTGTTTATTCTACTCCTTTGGCTTTTTGGGGGAGGGCGCTACCCAGCTCCCAAATAAATCACACATGAAGGCTTATTTTAGTCATGAGTGCCAGCCCTTAGCTTGGCTTGTTTCTAGCCAGCTTTTCTTAACCTGTCTACCTTTTGCCTCTGGGCTTTTTTCTTTTCTTACTTCTATATATCTTAATTTCACTCTTATTCCGTGACTGGTTGTTTACCTGGCCCCTAGTGTCCTCCAATCCTTATTCTCTTGCTCCTCTTCTTCTCCCAGATTTCTCCTACTTATCCTGCCTGCCTGCCAGACCCTCCTATCCTTGCTCCTGCCTTATTGGCCGTTCAGCTCTTTATTAGACCATCAGATGTTTTAGACAGGCAAGGAATCACAGCCTCACAGAGCTAAACAAATGCAGCATAAACAAAAGCAACACACCTTAAAAATAACCTTCTACAACAGAACCTGGAACAAACCCCACTGTAATCCCACAGCCAACAGCTGAGGGCAGTTTTGCCATTCCTTGTCTTTATTCCCAACCTCCGCTTTTATGTCAGTATTGCCAGGCACTGTGGCACATCCAGTAATACCAGCATTGGGGAACCAGAGGTGGGATTACCACAAGTTCAAGGGCAGCCATGTTTGCACATCAGAGTTCCAGGCCATCTGAGGATATATAATGAAACTCTGCCTCAAACAAAAAAGTCATTCTTGTTTTAACTGCCCTTCTCCCTGCACATTTCCGGCCAGTCTGCATCTTTACTCACTGTGCAATCTGCTGAACTTAAGACCTGCACACTCTCCTCTTCTTTGGAGAACACAGCACACAGCTATTTGGAACTTGATGACCCAGAATCTCTCTTAACAACGGTGCCCCCGCAGATCTGAGTATCACCCTGCAAGGCACCAGAAGCACCCTCCGGCCAAACCAGAAACCTGACCTCATCTATTCACTCCGTAATACCAAAGCTCTCCACCTGACCACCCTGCCCCTCCATCCCAGCTACCATCATCTTTCATTCAGCCTGTTACAACAGCCCGCTTCCAACTTTTCAAAACCCAGGCAGCAGTCGGGAGAGTTGTCTGCTGCCTAGGGAGTGCACGCAGATCCCACTGTGAGATGTTCCCTATCCTCTCCCTGTTCCAGGTACACACGACAGGACTCAACAGTCAGGAAAGCTGTACACAGAGCGCTTCCAAGTGCCCGGTACACAGGAAGTACCATAAAGGTTTGGCTATTATGATGCCCACTTCAGAGGCTCTGAGATGGGGAAGTCTATCTGTGTAAGGCGACAGCAGAGGGCACAGGGCCGTTCTGGAAGGCAGGAACTCGTCTCCAAATTCCACCAAGTTGCCACCACTGACACCGGCATTTCAGCACCCGGCTCTAAACTGGCTCGTCCTTCAGGAGAGTGACCCTACCCATCTTCCTCTCTCTTGATTCAAAACACTAAGGCGTCCAAACCAAGAGGTTTGGTCCAAACCCAAGGCTGCTCTAGAAACTCTGACTCTTAAGGGCCACGCGAGGCTGACCAGGGCGGAAGTGCTGCCCTCAGATACAGCTGGGCGGGGGTGCAGGGACTAAGGGCTCCTCTATCCAACTGTCCGTGGTTGTGACTCCGCCATGCACTGTCACTGTTGTGACAGGACGCACGTAGGAAAGCAGACACCAGATCCTGGATTAACGCGCCCAGAAACCGTCTCTAGATTCGCTTGGGCCCTCCTTGACCACCCTCAACTCAGCCACGCTTCCCAGCAGCACTCTACCTGCGCCGCCTGCTCGTCCGCCACGCGAAGCCAGTGCGCCTGCGCCGGCTCGGTCTGAGCTCCACCCCCACGCTTCTCGCCAATCGGAAAGCCACATTCTCGGGAGGGGGCGGGAAGCTCTGACTCCGCCCTACTGGAGAGGGACGAGCGAGAGTTTCCGGAAACTGAGCCAAAGAGCCTCGCTCTCCCGCCAAGATCATAGATTGGCCTGGATCGCTGCACGACGATCATGGTTCCGGAAGTGCCCTCTAGGAATTAGCAAGGTGCGACTCTATGATCAAATCCTACTTTAAAGGATTTGCGTCTGTTTACCACCCACTGCCAGGACCTGTTGACTCTTAGGATAACAGGTGCGCTGATAAGTAAGCTTGACTTTGGCTGCACCCGGGAAGCTATGTTTCAACTTTACCCTATGATTAAAAAAGCTTAAATTTAAATGAGCTTAGGATCGTAAAACAATTGGACAAATTATTACAATGTCCAGGGAAATCTTTTAAATTTTTTTATGAAGCAGAAATGGAGTTTAACAAAGACATTTTAATATAGACTTAAGCACCAGGCTTGAGAGAATAACTCAGAAACTGGAGAGCATGGGCGTGGGCTTCTCAAAGAGGAGCCTCCCTGAGTCTTGAAGGTATGAATTAAAACTTCCATTTACTGTGCTGGTTAAGACCGATTGCTGCTCTTCAGGGAAAAAGAGTTCGGTCCTCAGCATTCACTTTGGACAGCTCACAATCACTGTAACTCCAGCTCCGGGGAAATTCATGACCGCCTTCTGAGGATACCCACTTATATCATATGTATGTGCATAAATAAAAATGAGTCTTTCTCCCTATACATAATATATACATATTTATGTAAGTGTGTTGCGTGGCATAAGCGAATGTTTGCTTGTTTGTGTGTGTACAAGTATGAACTCGTATGTGGAGGTCCAAGGCTGACAGAGGTGTCTTTCTTCCATCTTCTAGACGGAGGCCCTGAGGCCCTGAGCTCTCCTCTCACGGAGGAGCACTTTTGCGTGGCAAGCTCTTTACCTGGTGAGCCTTCTCCCTAGCCCTCACAAAGTATTTTCTGAATAGCTACATTGTACAAGCCCCTGCTGAAGGTGTGGGGAAGAACAGAATGAAGAAAACAGCGCCTAGCTTGTTCTGGAAGAGACGACCTGTAAGCCAGCACAGCAAAACTTTAGCAGAATACCTGTCTCTGTTGACTTTCTGCTGCTGTGAGAAAGACCACAACCGAAAGCAACTTGGGGAGGAAAGGGTTTGTTTTAGCTTACAGGTTACAGTCCACCATGGGGGATGGAGGTCAAGGCAGGAACTCAAGACAGAAATCTGGAGACAGGAGCTGAAGCAAACACCATGGAGGAATACTGCTTACTGGCTTGTTCCTCATGGCTTGTTCAACCTGCCTACTTAGACAATGTTGAGCCGCCTGTGCAGTGGTGGTACCTCCACAGTGGGCTGGGCCCTCCCATGTCAATCATTCTTAAAGATGTCTCCCGACGGACTTGTCTACAGGCAAACCTGATGGGGGCATTTTCTCAATTGAGGTCCCCTCTTCCCAGATGGCTCTATCTCTCTCATGTTGACAAAGTAGAAAGTGCTGCAGGGAAGCAGGGCATAAAGAACTCAGAAACTAAGACAAAAAAAAAAAGGATTTTGATAAAATTATTTTTTAAATCAAAATTAACAAAAAATTCATAGAAAGAAATTAAGTTATCAGCCCAAGGGTATTAAATGTTCCAAAGACAAGTTAGCTTAAGAAGCATGGAGCAGGAGCTGGGTGGTCCTGATGTAAAACAGGTCGCCCATAGAAAGCCTTAGCACGAAGGCAGCTTTTTAACAAAGAGCTGAAGGAGGGGAGAAGCCAGAGCCTTGTAGTTGTCTGGGGGAGAATGTTACAGACACAGAACAGAATGAAAATGTCCTGAGCAGCAGCTGCGTTTATTTCAGTTCCCTTGTTCAACAACAACACTTTATAGACGGCCTCAAGTGTACTGGACCCACCGCAAGACACTGATGACTCCGATAATGGTCCAGACAGCTCTCAGTGCCCCAGGGGCTTCATGAACAACGCCTGCCTGTGATCAGTAGCCTCACTGGAGCACAGGGAAGGGGGAGCTTACTGAGGAAATTACCTTTCAGTTTACCTTAGAGATGAATGTGTCTGCCAGGGGGGGCAGGACAATCAGAGGCATGGAGTGGACTGTGATGATGTCATACAAGGGGATAGACTGGCGCTGGGAGTGCATCGTTGTTTCTCACAACTCCTGATGTGCCAGAATTGTTAAGGGTCAGAACCTAGGTCCCGAAAACCCCAGTAAGCCAGATTCGGCCACCTATCCTCAACAAGCTGAGACTAGGAGTTAGACCGACTCCCTGGTGGACAGACAAACGGGAAGAGAAGCCATGGCTAGGTAATAAAGGTGGTGAATTTCCAAGATGGCTAACTTTTTTCTCACCCTCCTGATCTGAGACAACCCATCAGCTTAAAGCAAAGAAAAGCCTTGTAGGCTTCTGTTTCCCACCAGCAGGCCCCGTGGTGACGGACTGGCTCAACATACTGAAGGCCTGATCAGGACAAGTCGCACCACAGTTCTGGGCCAATCAACCATCCTTGCTTTCTTCAAACTGACTAATCCTAAATAGCAGAAGACCCTTCAGAGGCTTTAACACCCCCAGTCCTAGAGGAAAGACTGGATTTTCCGGCTGAGTGTCCCCTCTGCTTTGCAAAGGATCTTTTTCTCTGTGTCTGCTGTGTGTGTGTGTGTGTGTGTGTGTGTGTGTGTGTGTGTGTGTGTGTTTCCTCGCTCCCAGGGAATGTCTTTCTCCAACTGCTGATTCTGTCTGAGGTGTCCGAGCTTTCTCTGCTGCCACCTGTGGTGCTTCAGACTGCCCCTGCCTTTTAACTCTTTAGCTGGCAGAGAAAAGACACCCAGTCAGGACCCCTGGACTGTCTCAAAGCCGTCACTGTCACCGTTTCTGGACTGTCCTGAAAGGTGACCTGACAAATTGCAGTCCTCTTCTGGGAGATAGATTTATTTATGGGTGACTATCTTAGGGTTTTTATTGCTGTGAGAGACACCATGACCACAACAACTCTTACAAATAAAACATTTAACTGAGGTGGCTCGCTACGGTTTCAGAAGTTCAGTCCATTATCATGGGGGGGGGGAGCATGGCAGTGTGCAGACAGATGTGATGCTGGAGCTGAGAGTCCTGCATCTTGACTAAGAGGCAACAGGAAGTCTACTATCACACTGAGTGAAGCTTGAGCAAAAGAGACCTCAAAGCCCGCCCCTACAGTGACACACTTCCTCCAGCAAGGCCACACCTCCTAAGAGTGCTTCTTCCTTTGGGGGCCATTTTCTTTCAAACCACTACATTGGCTCAGACTTTAGTTGTTTCCTTCCCCTTAGTATGAGATTTCCAGAGGAATTCTCATTTCTTGTGGCGCATTGTTTCCATAGCCACAAGGTGGAGCACAGTGTCTCTTTAAGAATGTCTGTATTCCTCCCAGGCATGCAGGCTCCAGTGACAATGCTTAATACCCAGCCAGAGCAGTGCAGGAATCCCCATGTACCTCGTCACTGAAGTGGGACAAGCCCAGGCACTGATATTTTAACGTCTCCCCTAGAATGACTGAGTTAGATGAGTAGGCCTGCAAGAAAGATACTGGACAACTTGGTGAGGGAGGGTGGTAGATAGATGGGATCCTCATACCCTTATGTTGAGGAAGACGTGGCTTGGCTAGAGCACATGAGAGCACATGACCATAGTGTCTGTCTGGTGTAGGAGGCCCTTCTGTATTTGTGCTGCTTTCATTGGTTATTAAAGAAACTGCCTTGGCCTAGTTGATAGGGCAGAACTCAGGTAGGTGGGGAAGACAGAACAGAATTCTGGGAGGAAGAAAGCAGAGACAGGAAGACACCATGAAACTCCTGTCTGAGACTGACTCTGGTTAGTATCTTTCCTGGTAAACCACGACCTCGTGGTGAACACAGATTGGTAGAAATGGGTTAGATCAGGATGTGAGAGTTGGCCAAGAAGAGGCTAGATATAATGGGCCAGGCAGTAATTTAATTAATACAATTTCTGTGTGATTATTTTGGGGGTTAAGGTAGCCGGGCAGCCGGGACGAAAAGCAGGCCTGCTCTCCTTCATACAACATCTGTCAACCTGCTTAAAGGACCAGGCTGAGCTGGTGGGCCTGAGTTCTTCTGTCTCTAAAAGCCACACTGGGTCCCCGTGGCCCAGCTCTATGGGAGGGGTTTTCCTCGAGCACTGGTGTCTCTCAGGTTTTGCTGGAGCAATATTCCTCCTACTGGGAGGGAAGTCATGCTCGGAATTTCTTGGGATCCATGTGTCCACAGTGACCTTTCATTCTCCCTCTGCCCACACACGTAGTTATAGCCCTCCAATCTGGGAAATCTAGGCAGTGCCCTTTATACCCTGAGGTGTTAATTATTTCTCAATTAGCAGTCCCCAGGCTGCAGAACACAGTGGTATGAAGAAGGCCTAATGACCTACAGTGTTTATACACCCCCGCATCTTTAGAGCACTTAACAGCAGTAACTAATTAAAGCTCACGACCCCCTTGGGAAGCAGACCAGCGTGCTGTAGTGATCTGTAAGTGCACAGGAGCTTCTGTGGTCTGGAGTGGGGGCCTGGCTGGACAGTCACAGAATCCAGGGTGGCAGAGACCCAGTGTCTGACTCTGCCATGCTAGCAGATTTCTGGGACACATTTCAATCAATCAATTTATTGGATGCCTTGATTTATAGTCACATTCCTAGTTTAGCTCTACAAGTTAGAAAGGCTCATTTCTTTTTCTAGTTATCAAAAAAAAAAAAGGGAAAGAAATGGGAGCCTCAGGTCTTCGCCCATTCTCAGCCAGGACACCCTCTTCCCCTCTGCAATCCACCCCTTCTCACGGCATCCCCTGCGTGCTTCATACCCTTGCTTCAATC